ACTAAGTCGAAAAGAAAATTAATAAATGAATGAGTTTTTATTTTTTATAGCCTTACCTCTCTTTTTTGTTTGTTTGTTTGTTTAGTTTATTTGTTTAAATGGTCAATGCACATTATTAAACATTACTGTAAAATGTGCCAGAATTAGCCAAGAATGACTATTTTTCATCTGTAGACCCCTTACAAAATGTTAAAAAGTCACACCTAAAATAGAAGCAAAGCATATTAACCTAGAATACACTATCATATATAAAATACAATAAAAAAGCAAAGTTTTTAAGTTTTTTTTATTTTATTTTGTTATTAAAAAAAAGTAAAGTAACAGCCATTAATTTATAGAAATTTAACGTAAAATAACAAACATTAATTACAGAAATTTACCAGAAATTTTAATTTAAGGAAATTTCTGTAATTTAATTTCCGTTGTTTTATGGTATATTTTGGTAATTTAACGGCTGTTACTTTACGTTTTTTTTTCCAGCATTCCAGCTGCCAAAAATAAACGTAAAAATTACGTTTTTTTTACAGTGTAGGTTTAATGCTGAATGTTTTGTTCTCGATTTGTTATTATGTTGTTACCTCTACAAGAATGCCAAATTACACTTCTGAACAGGATAAGTTTGTTAAACCAAAACAAACAAGAGTAAAAAAAAACAATAAAATACATTTTTACAATAGAAGAATGTCATAAACTTTTTCCACTGTGCACAAAAAATGCTCAAACACATAAATTAAAAACAAGCAAAACATCCCATTTCCATGTGATCTCTTTTTTTTTTTTTCCCCATGCACTTCCACAGCGGGGTGACATGGTGGCTCAGTGATAAGCACTGACTACTCACAGTAAGAAGGCCACTAGTTCTAGTCCCGGCTGGTTCAGTAGACATTTCTGTGTGGAGTTTGTATGTTCTCCCCATGTTGGTGTGGGTTTCCTCCGGTGCTCTGGTTTCCCCCACAGTCCAAAGACTTGCGCTATAGGCAAACTGAGTAAACTAAATTGGCTGTAGTGTATGTGTGTGAATGAGTGTGTATAGATGTTTCCCAGTGCTGGATTGCAGCTGGAAGGGCATCTGCTGTGTAAAACATATGCTGGATAAGTTGGCGGTTCATTCCGCTGTGGCAACCCCTGATGAATAAAGGGACCAAGCCGAAGAAAAAATGAATGAATAAAATGACAACCCAAAGCAAATAAATGAATTAAATAACCTCAATAACCTCAAGATCTTTATAGCATAAAGTACAGTTACCTGGAACTGCACCTGATGCTGTAAAACGTGTAAAACAACATGCCAAAGCAGACATTTCCTCTTTGTACATTTCTGTTAACATTAACAACAGGCAAACAAACATAAACACATGCCAACGTAATCTTTCAGATTAAGATCTGAGCAATGAACAGAATGCGCAACGTATGTCCTGTTTGAGGCTGAGAGTATACAATGGAGAGAATGAAAGCATTTCTTCTATTTGTTTTGCATTCAAAGTGTCAGTGCATGAATGAATATGGGTTGGTCTAACTCATTGGTCTATCCCCTAAATACATAAATATGTATGGATGGGTGTGTATGCTGACATCACGCAGTCTCTAGTGGATTACTTCATATAGGTGTGGCTTAAACTGTCAGCTGTTTATGAGAAATCATATGGTGAGAAACTAAAGCCAGTCAATGTGACTGCAGCTAAAAAACAGAAGAATGGGAAACCTGGTAAGTTGTGAACAATACTTCTTAAAATTTCAACAAATCTTGATATTAAATGATAGTAAACGTAGACCTACTTCTTGAATATTACGCTCAGTAAAAGTGTAAAGTGACCGTTTAAAGCTTTACGGCTTATCTGTTAGCAGACGCTGTTAACTGACATACAACAGGGCTTAGCAAATTCATTTTGTCCTCGAGTTAATGGTGTTAAGTTTTTTATGTTACTACATGTTACCTGAAAGTTCTTGAGTTCTTAGAACATATTAAAAAGCATACATGACATATGTTGCATTTTAAGAGATAGATCCCCCAGAAATGATACTTTACACAATATTTACTTCCTCAAGTATTTCCAAACCTTTAGATTCTTTCTGCTGTTAAACACGAAGGAAGGTATTTTGAAATTAAAATATTTTGTAATTAATGTTTTGTAACCATTGACTTCTATATTAATGCAATGCAAATATTATGGATATCAATGGCTAAAGTTTTCCAACTTTCTTTTAAAGATCTTCTTTTGATTTTAACAGAAGGAAGAAAAACAGACAGGTTTGAAACCAGTAAAGAGTAAATGTTGACAGAACTAAAAGTTTATGGTGAAATATCCCTTTAATAGTTAAACTACAAATTTACGCAATGAGTATTCAGAATATTATGAAATATTATGGTCTTTAAAGGCATTACAACACAAAAGAAAGACTTTTAAGGATGTTTAAAGTTGATTTTGTAAGTTAATTTTGATCAGCATGTAAATGTATGACTTTTTGGGCTCTCTATGTAAATGCTCTTTTAATGATATTGATAAAGCAATAATGTTGGGCTAATATTATAAAGTGTGAGCATATTTTTATAAACATGATTATTAAGTGTGCAGCACATTTTGTACACATTACATTACGTAATCATTAATAAATCACTGAGAAGTGAGTTGTAGATCCTGGACAAAGTTCAGATCACAAGCTGAAACTCATTCAGATAATGTGAAAGTACACTGTAAACATGATTTTCAATAGTGATTGTAAATAATGGCGATCAGAGCACAGTTGTGTCCTAGATGACAGCAAGGCTAGTTCATTTCTAAGTGGCATTGTAGCAAATAAACACCCATTATAAATGAATCTCAACTTTTACAAGAAAATCCTTTTTCCAAATTCTCTTTTTACAAAATGTAACTTTATATATTTAAATCAGTGTGTAACTTGTGAATCCTCTGTAATAAATTGTGAAATTTATGAAACATGTCTTGACTTGAAACACTTTCACTTGCAACGGTGTGATTTGACTGAAGCTGAAAAAGGACCAAAGGCATATAGAATAAACTAATTTTAATAACGACAAAAACAGCTTGAGAAGAGCCTCATATATAGTCATGTTGTTGTCCAGATAAAGTCATGAGAAATTTCTTTGCAGCAGATTGTGTATGTGCGTGCAAAGGATCTTCTTCACGATTCTCAACTTCTTAAAACTCCCCTAAAATCCACAGGGTAATCACACAAGTTTCTCAATACTATTGAACATGACGAATTGCACACTCATTATGGCAGCATCTTGATTAAATCAAGTATAAACAAAACTGATTCATTCAGATTTATATGGTCAACTGAATAAATAATAAATAAAAGAGCAGTTCATCTCAAAAACTTGTTGTGGGATCATTTATAACTAAACATTATTCTTAATAAGGAGAAAATCTTCATTAATCAAATAAATTGTGTTATTTGGTTAATAACTAACTGGTGTGCGTGTCAGTGGCATATTTTCTTGTATAGGGCTTTACTAACATACAGGTAAATATTATACAAACGCCAATATGGATACACCACACATTTAACACAACAGTATGATTCCTCCATATCTGATCAACAATTGACCTTTTTAAAGTGTACACGACTTATAGATCTGTTTGTATTTGTGTGCATGTGGTAAAATTGTGAAAATGTGAACAATAACTGATCCAGAAAAAAACAACAACACTTTTGTAACGCTTAACTTAACGTTGTCAACATCATTTTTAAAATCACAATTTATCAAACATATAAAACAATGTTGTGTGTTTTGTAAGTTAAACACTCATTTGTTTCCATGGGTGTGTATTATAATACTAAAGCATTGAACTGTAATGGGCAACATGACAAAACAAAACAAACAATGACATAGGTGTTCTGAACTTATTTGGTCTTTTTATGTCCTTTATTTGGTTTGTCCAGACCTATAAGTCAAACTACACCAGAGTTTGTTTGAAAGTGGATTGAGAGCCATCTTTTTCGGCAATCTTTTCTAGCATTTGTTTGTTTGGTGTACATCAGGATTTAGGCAGCAGCATCCACACCTATTTAAACAAACCAATGGAATTATAGTTAGTTTGAACCAAACACACAAGTGTGGATTTAACATACTTAAATGACAGAAATATTACAAAATTTAAGTATTACAACAATTTTGATCAAAAACCTTTAAGTGCCCTCTGAAGTGTCCATAGAAAATGAGCATTGTTCTCAGCCACCTTTGTTTATGTTAAGTTATTACACTTGGAATACCATGAAAATAACTTATTATTTGCAATGAAAGTGAAGTTATTGTACCCACACAAAAGGGCCTGATATAAGTGATACTTTTTAAAGAAAATTTCAGACGTGTTTTAGTGGTTTCTGCATCTGAGCTCATTTTGATTTATTATTCTATTATCTTAATTTATCAAATTTATTGTGTTACTTGTTAATAATTAGCTTCAGTCAGTGTCAGTGCAATCATTTAGTTTCTATAGAGGTTTGCAAACATCCAAATAAACCTATTAAACAACCCTCCATTTTTATATGGTCTATCTTTGTTAGGGGGTAAATCTTTGGGGTTATTTTCATGACGTTTATCTAGATGTTTGCTATCCCCTAAAATGATGCCACATACACTTACTGTATTAATGGACAAACGACACATCTATTTGCTTAAAGAAGATTTGTAGAATCGGAAGAATTTGACAATATTGCGAATGAATTAGCTGAATTATTGCCATAGTACTCTGAAGAAAAAAATGGATTTACACATTTTTTAAAAGGTAACTGGTCGCTTACAGTTTATATGGGCTTTATTACAAAACAAACACGTTAAATTTAGTAATGTTCAGCTTAATTTGTGTTTGAATTCAGCTCATATAAATAGTTGGCAACCTTAAATTTTTTTAGTAAATCCAATGAATCATTTTCTTTAGTATATTAAATCAGAACTATGAATCATTTTACAATGTACTGATGATGATTGTTGTCTCTTGTCATTTTTACAGGTGACCAGTTTTACCAGGTTATCAAAAACATGAAGAGAATGAATGAAGCAGCTTTTTCTATCAACAGGAAGCAAACATCTGTTTACATTTTCAGCCTTATCAAGCACCATTCTCCATCAGCGTTTTTCAAATGCCATAAATCACAACCATGGCAGCTTTTAGAGATGGATTTCGGTGGCTGTGCACCCTTTTTGGATTCATTTTTTATTTAGGAGACATTGGTTCCGACATTTTGTTGTCTGTGCAGTATTTTAGACGTGGACATGTCACATGGGCTGCACTGACTCTTACGTTTGTTCTGGTCGCATCTGTGACCGTACAGACATTCAGCTATGCGTGGTTCAAAGACGACAACAAGGAGAGTCAAACAAATGTCAAGTGTATTCCCACTTGCTATCTGATCGGGATACATTTACTGCAGATAGGCATTTGTTCAAGGTAACATCATGCTAATGTATCTAGAAAATCAATTTAATTTAATTTAGAATTGATCTAATATTTCGGCAATGCTTTGATATATATTTTATTTATTAATATTTGCAATTGTTATTTTTATATAGATTGAATATATAACGAGTTTACTCTTATTAAACATTAGTTAACATATCCCTTTTAAGGGAAGTTTACTCACTTTAAAAAAAGTAGAGTAAATAATCACTTTTATATTGTGTTTTTGGCAAAATAAAGTACAATTCATTTCAAGTATTCAATAACAAAGGTATGTCTGTTTAGCTTTTCCCTTTTTTTAAACACAAACTAACTTAAGAAAGAGACAAACATAAAAACAATAAGAAATAGAAATAAATTAAACAATTAAATTAAATAAATCATAAATTATAACAACAAATAAATAATAAAAAACATGGGGGTAGGGGGAGGGGATGTTAGGCGATTTATGGTTGGACAAGTACTTTTATACCAAAATATTAAAGTTACAAAGGCGAAGGCATGTTCTATATCTTTGATTATATGCATGTCCTCATTTGGTAGTCCAAACAAAGCCATTACAAGATTGAATTTTTAAATTAAATGCAGAGTTTAAAATCATTATCAGTTTAATACATGACCAGAACATGTGGGTCAGGTCTAAATAATCACTTTTTACAGTAAAAAGCCCTTAACATTTTAAAAAAAATAATGTCTTCTTTCTAACTTTCTAGGAAGTAACTTAAAAAAAGATATTGTAATATAGTAGTGATAATAGCAAATAATAACAAACATTATTTTTTTTTTTAATTAGTTAAGGTTAACCAAAATGAGACTTTAAAAAAGAAAATCATCATTTATTTACCTTCATGTTGTTCCAAAGACTATTCTGTGGAACACAAAATGTGTTTTTCTATGAACACAAAGTAAAAATCATCCTCAAACATTGGCTTTTATTGAAAGAAATAAGAAAATAAATATTTTTGAGCGTGATCTATCAATTCAGAGTAAGCTGAAAGAAAATTGAGTTTACCCTTTTGTCTATCTGCCACTTTAGGTATCTACGATTCCTAAAGAGGAAATTCAAAGCCCTTTGTTCAAATCAGACAAGAGAGGAAAAGGACTATGACTCTGGGCTGGCTGCAGATCTCAGCATGCTCCGTATGTTTGAGACATTTCTGGAGAGTGTTCCTCAACTCACTCTGCAGACCTACATCATACTGGAGCACAACCATCGCTCCAATCTGCAATGTGAGTTCTACAGGGATTCAATAATTCTAAGCACAAATACACAAAAAATAAAATGAAGAAATGATAAAATGTTAACTTTCAAAAGTCTGTACCATTTTTTTTTTTTTTAAGAAATTCACACTTTTATTTAGCAAAAATGCATTGCGATCCATTGATCAAAAATATTTAGTAAGTCTTCAATGCTGAAAACTATTTGTTTACAGAGAATACTTACTTTTCTCTGGGCCCTTTTCCTTTGTTTGTACTGAACGGCCATTTGTCACAAGAAGATGACAAGCTCTGTAAGACCATCATTGTATCATTTCAGTGTCACATCATGGCACTTTCTGTGTTGTTGTTCTTTTGACTTGTTCCATGCACTGGTTGACAGTACTCTCTAAACCAATAGCATTCAGCTGTGAGTCTACCTTGACCTTTGGGTACCATACTGGTGTGCTAGTTACACTCATGAAAAGGTGCCCAAAAAGTGGTACTGTAATGGGCCGTTTCCACTGAGTGGTAGGGTACGGTACGCTTTTATGGCCATTTTCACTGTCAAAAGGCGTACTGAACCGAACCGTACCACTTTTTAGTCACCCTTTGCAAAGGGTACCAAGGGTACCAAAAGGCGGAGCTAGACGCGTAGCTGAACGCCGTTGGTTTACAGAGATGCGCCATTCGCCTGCGGAACAAGCCAGAATGAAAACAAAGAAACCACTATGTTTTAAATACACAGCCGAAGCATTACACCATTATAATATATATATATATAATAACACGCCATGGTCAACTAGAGCTCAAACAAACCTTGTGGTCATCTTGATGAACAGCCACAAAGCTAAAAAGAACAAAATCTGCTGTGCCCTGTTTTTGTTTTACGAGCCTGTCTAAAAGTGCGAGCAATTTCACTTTGTCCGGAGAGCTCGCAATCGCATCTATGTTTGAAATAACAAACTTTTTGAGCTCATATTAATAACGTGCTTGTGATTAATACAGCTCTCTGATATCCGATCCTGTCAAAAGAGACAAACGCGAGAGTAAAGCGTAAACAAACAGAGGAGAAGCCAAAAAAAAACAGCCGCAAATTTTGCATCTGCAACCTAAAACATGAACAAACTGCCATGTTTAACTTTTATCATCGCCTTTTGAACTATTATGATTTTAGAATGATGTAATTACATTCAAACAAGAGGTTACATGTGCTGCTGAAGATTAAAGAGATGAGAGGTTTGCACTGACTGTGGGCTATATTTTGTGTTGTTTTTAAACCTAAATAAGGACTTAATGTTAGTCGTAACATATCAGAGACTGTAAGGGTCTGTATGTGTTCATATATGCTGCATTAATATATTTATTTAACATAATTACAGACGTTACAGTAGGCTATTTCACACTGTTATTGATCTGCAGTTATAATCAAATCATGTTTATAGAAAAGATAGTAATAAACATTTATACACAAGTATTTATGTGTATAAAGCATCTGTTTTTGCAGAAGTGCTTCTCATATGATATGTGAACGTACAGCATTTTCTCGAGCGAAAATGACGTTGACTGAGGGTGCTTTCACACCTACACTTTTGTTTCGGAACGTATCTCGTTTGCCCAGTTAGCGCGGTTCGATTGGCATATGTGAACAGGGCAATCGCACTCTGTTCCGCGCCAAAGTAATCGCTCCGAGATCGCTTGAATGAGGTGGTCTCGGCTCGATTGAAACGAACCCTGGAGCGGTTCGATTGTAGTGAGAAAGCGATCCGATCCGAGCGCGGTTGTATCACTGTGTTTTATGGATATGTAATAGGCATATACGGCTATATGAAGAGAGAATTATGAGTGGGGTGGGAAGTTTCGCGAGTCTCCGGATGCCTGCAAACGAGTGATGATCTCCCGGTAATCTCGCGTCTCCCTCCAGGTCCTCAAATAGGCATCGTCGCGCACCCTTCTCACCCCTCCCCACCGCGTCTCTCCTCAGACACGTCGCGCGCGCGCACCCTGTCAATCACCACCAAACCACCACCTCTCCTGACAGCTTAGCGGGACGCTGCAAAATAAACCCTGACACTCTGACCAATGTGAGGAGAGTTTACTCGCACGTGACTTGTATTAGCTCTTTTGGTCCGATAAGAAACTTTGCAGTGTGAAAGCGAACCGCTCCAAGAGCAAAGAGCAACAATGTAACAATTGTAATCTCTGTTTCGGAACAACTGAATCGATTCACAGGTGTGAAAGCACCCTGAAACTCTCTGTCGTACACCACACCCACCAAAAGAGTACCGTTGGTACCCTTTTAGCAGTGGAAATGCAAGCCTGATAAGGTTACCCATACCGACCTGTATCATACCGTACTGTACCACTCAGTGGAAACAGGCCATAAGATTGACTATTTTAGTGTAAAAAAAAAGGACCATCACATGCTGTTTTTTTACTACCCCATCCCCCATCCTAAACCCTACATAATCGAGGGCCACTGTCCTGCAGAATTTTGGCTCCAACCCTGAAAAACAACAATAGCCAGAATCAGCAAATGTGGTGTGTTTGATTAGGTTGGAGCTAAGCTCTGCAGGAACACTTACCTTACAGGATCAACGTTCCCCACCCTTGCTTTAAATGATAATTGACTTGGTTTCACAGACAGGGCTTTTACACTACACTAATGTAGTGTAAATGTTTTTACACTAATGTGTTTTAGTTTTTGCTGTGCTGTGACACCTTCCATACACACTACCCCAAAGATTTCGACCCCCGAAAATGGAGACATTTTTATAATGCTGCAAAGACCAATTTTGTTTGTAAGTGGTGGTCAGTGTCAACTCCACATATTTGCTCCCTTATTTGTCAAGCCCCTATCACATGACCATAATAACACTGCAATGACATGTACAAAGAAATTAAAGTTTTGTTCGCCTTGTTGTCCATTTTAGCAGCAGTTAAACGTTGCATTTTACACTAGTGCAGCTGCCTACATTCGCAACTGGTAATCTATTGTTAGAGCAGTCGACAAACACTAACATTTCACGCAATCTAAGTCCTATTCAGGACACAGGTTAGACAGTAGTTGCATTTCAAGCCAATTTTTTTATGCCCTTCACTTACTAAGTGAAGTTTATTTATAAACTAATTTTAAGAGGATCACATGCTTATGATTGCTTGCAGCCAGTCCTACATTATTTACTTTATGATTCACCAATCAGATGATTCCTTAGTCACTATAAATACCTGAAGTTCCATAAAATAGCCATATTCGTTTTTAAAGAATCCCCTCTTCCACCCCTACTCCTTCTCCTTTCCTAGTTTGGTGGCACAGTGGCCTAGTTGCACTGTTGCCTGACAGCAAGAACGTCACTGGTTCTAGTCCTTACCAAGCCAGCCAACATTTCTGTGCAGAGTTTACATGTTCTCCCTATGTTTCCCCCAGGTACCCCAGTTTCCTCCTACCATCCAAAAACATTCAGCTTAAGTTAATTGATTAATCCAAATCGCCACCATAGACATGCTCCTTGTAAATAGTTATCTCTTAAGAGCAATTTCTGTCTGTTCATTAGTTATTACAGCAGAGGTTCTTGAAATCTACCTGAGTTTAAACTCACCTCTCGCATTGCAAACGGGAGTGAGCCACAGGCTCGAGGATCTTATGAGGTCAGGGCTCTCTCCCGGGACAGCAAGCTAAATAATCTATAATCAGCTAAGTGTTAACTCTTGAAGTTCCCTCCGTCTCGTTCCCTTAGATGTATTTATTGATTACATCACACAAGTTTCCACTACTGGCAGAGCATCTGAATGGGTTTAAATTGAGTGCCCTAAACATTTCAGCACTTGGGAACTACACTGTTGTGATGTCACAATCGTGTTGCATTCTGGGACATATAGGCACTTGAGTGGACATATGAAACTGACTTTCCCCCTCTGAGAGATCGAGAATATGTCCATGTAAGTTTTCCTCGTTCACTTCTTAAATTGGAATTCACTTTAAAATGGAGGCAGGGATTCCCCACAGGGAAAAGGTAAAGAGAAGTTTGGGAGTGCATGTATAAACATGGACTGGAACGAAGCCAGGGAAGAATCAATGTCTCGGGTTACATGCTTGTGAAGTAGCTGTTGTTGAAATAGTTGTTGACTAGTACCCAAATGCAATTTTAAGCACACATGCCTGTTTATATTTTATTGCACAAAACTTGTAAAAACTAAAGACACCAAGTGGTAAAGTGTTTAAGGTGTAATGGGGTATGGGGTCTTCGTTGTTGAAAAATGCACCACACATTCGCTATTGTAAAAGTCAGGAATGCAGGCAGGCCAGTCAAGTACCTGTATCCTCTTCCTCCGCAGCCAGGTCTTTGTAATGTGTGCAGAATGTGGTTTTGGATTGTCTTGTGGAAATATGCATTATCTGGAATAAAAGGCAGCATATTGTGCTCCAAAAATCTCTATGTAATTTTCAGCATTAATTGTACCATCACAGAAATCCAGGTTACCTTTGCCGAGAGCACTTCACCATGACAGACCCTAGCTTTTGGACTTATTGCTTGTAACAATCTGGAAGATCTTTTTCCTCACTGGTTTGGAGCGAGTGTCCATTTCTCCCAACAAACACTTGAAATACTGATTCATCTGACTACAGTACACGTTTCCACTGTTTGATGGTCCATTCCAGATGCCCACGACCCCAGAGAAAATGACAGCGCTTCTGGACATTGTTAATATAGGACTTTTCATTTTGGCACAGTACAGTTTTAACTGGCATTTGTGGATATACTTATGTATTGTGGTACTTGAAAAAGGTTTGCCAATGTAATCCTAAATCCGTGTGGTGTTATCGCTTGTAGATAAATGATGATTCTTGATGCAGTGATGCCTGAGGGATTAGATATTCAGCTTAAACTTGCACCCTTTTCCTTTACGCACTGAAATTCCTCCAGATTCCTTGAATTTTTAAATTATATTATGCACTGTTGAAGGTAAATAATCCAAATGTCTTCCTATCTTTCTTTGAGGAACATTCTTTTTAAACATTTAAATATTTTCTCAGGTATTTGTTGGTAAACTGGCAATTCTCAGCCTATTTTTGCTCCTAAAGGACTAGACCTTTCTTAGGTGCCGCTTTTGTACCAAATCATAATAACAATCACCTGTTGACATCACCTGTTTCAAATTACATCATTATTTAACAATTTAACTGATCACTAGCCCTCACAGCTCTTGTCTCAATTTTTTTGAACTGTGTTTTAAGAACCAAAGTTCTGTTTATGCATGTTTATGCGTAAACAAACAAACAAAAAAACAAACAAATAAATAAACAATAAAAACCACAAGCAACACTTTAAATAATGTTTGTTTTGTTGTCTGCATTAAAATACAAGTTAAAATAAATTCAGAACTACTTTCTTTTTTATTTGAGTTTTCCATACTGTCTCAACCCTTTCTGATTTGGGGTTGTATCTGCTACTCTGTCAAAAATCTCTTGACTATAAGAAACTTTGGAAGTACAAATTAACTTACAATAAGCCTAACTTTACAGTTTACTTTATCCTCTAATGAGAATTAGCTGTCATGTAGTTGCAAAATATAATCAGCAAAATGTGTTAAAGGGACCATCACAATTTAGTGATATTAAAATATCTTGCATTTTTGTGTTTAATCACACACAATTTATATTTTGCAGACATCAGCATGGCCATGTCTTTCGTCACTATAGCCTGGTCAACGGTGGATTATCGACGCTGTTTACGGTCCTCTTTAAGGGATACAAATGAAATGCCATCTGGAAGCCCAACAGCCATTTACCTGTTCTACAAAATCTTCACCATCACTCCTCGAATCCTCAGCCTGACGCTCTTCCTCATGCTCTCCTACTTCACCATTCCAGCAATAGCGCTTGTATGGCTGGTGGGAACCACCTGGGCATTTGTGGAGAAGACGAATTTCTGTACTTCACGAGTCCTTGAATGGATCTATCGAGCCGTAGTTGGAGTTATTCTCATTTTTACATTTTTTAACATTAGGGGACAGAACACTAAAGTCCCCATGACTGTTTATTACATATTCAGCGTAACTGAAAATCTTTCTGCGCCCATATTGTTGGCTCTGCTCAAACCGGAGTCTGAAGGGACTGACTATTTCCTGCCCATAATACTTTTTATTTTATTTTCTAATTCAATAGGGCTGATTTTTCTGGCGGTTTATTACAGCCGTCTTCATCATCATGTGCATCCCCCTGTCCCTCCGTCTGAAAGGATAGCAGATGAAGTGGATGGAGGTCCTCAAGTTAAGAATGTACAAAAAATGACACGTTTTAATCATTTTTTACAAATATAATTATCTTGCTCAAAAAAAAAAAAAAAAAAAAAAATCTACAATTGAATTGACTTACTAAATGTCAGTAGCACTTAATTTAACAATACAGTTTTGCATACTATTAACATTACACGTCATTACATAAACTGGATAATAAACTCACAACTCCTAAACTCAACCTTAAAGCTAGTTCACACTAAAATGAAAATTACCTCACCATTTACTCTTTCTTGTGTGGATTAAACTTTTATGAGTTTTTATTATTCATTGAACATGAGTTATTAAAAAAAAAAATCTAGTTTATGGTACCATCGACTTCCATAGTCATTTTTTACCGCAGGAGGTTAATGGATACCTAGCAATTTTTTAAAATATCTCTTTTTGTGTTTAAACAAAATATAGAATCTCAAAAAGGTTTAAAACCACACGAGGGAGAGTTAATGATGAGGTAATTTCTTTTTTGGCTATCCCTTTAAGCCATGTAGTTATCTTATTTAACCGTTTCATAAAATAATGTGCAGCCAACATGTCTGAAAGCTGCTAAGGAAGGTATGAACTCTGATTTTACTCATCCGAAATGTTGAACTTTAAAGGTTTTATTGAAGTTGTATATGAATAAGCTTGCTGCTGCCATTTCGTCACCTTAAAATTATAAGGCTCTATCTGACATTTTTGTCAAAATTGAGTTATTGACATATTCTTATTAAATGACATCCTGTTTACAATATAGGATGTTTTTTTGTAAGTTGTTTACATTTTAAGACTTTTTATTTAAAAAACAAATGTTACACACATACTGTCTACTATGGAATGCAAAAACTTTGAAGCTCCATATCTTAAACTCATTCAGAACGCAGATAGAAACTCATAATTCCAAGGTGATGATTTACCCTCTTCAGTTCATTCCAAATATAGCTGTTCAGTTTGCAATCATACTGTGATCCCTTTGTCTAAAGCAGGAGTCACAAACCTTGCCCCTGCACATCTACCTTCCTGCAAATTTCAGTTGCAACCCTGAACAAACACACCTGTTTCTAATTATAAAGTGCTGCTCATAATTAATTGGTTCAGGTGTGTTTGAACAGTGTTGGAGCTGAATTCTGCAGGATGGTAGCTCTCCAGGAACAAGGTTGGTAAACCCTGGTCCTATGTGTAAAATTAAAGGCATAGGCATTAAAAATATAAATTTCTCACTATTTACTTTATTTAGTGGTTTTAAACTTTTATGAATTTTATTTCTGTCCTACTAATTTAAAGCAGAGGTCAACAGAGCACTAGAAAAGCAGTTCAAGGAGTCACGGAGCGTAAAAGTGTGTAATCTATGTATTTATTCAAGCTTAATGCAGATCAATGCAGTGCCATGCTGTAGCAAGCCTAAGTTATGCTGCCTTAACATGATGACGGAAATTACCTAAATGTTAATTGTATTTTCTAAAATGTATGTTTTTAAACAAGTAACTTGAAAACAGAATTTAGAGTAAGAGTCTATCTAGTTTAAGTTTTTTTTTTGTTTGATACAGGCGTATTGTTTACCTATGACACTTTGATAATATGTTCTGCAATAGAAACTGCTCAGAATTACAAAGACTGTCATTCTAAACAACTGAGGGCATGACAACTGATTACAGCTTATTCTGCAGTTGCTGCTGTTTTCAGAAACAACAGCAAAAAAAAAAAAAAATTACTGCTATAAATGTTCGATATATCAAGTCAGTAAAGTAAATTTAATTACACTTATTGAAGGATTGTTTTCAAGCCTTTAGGATTAAAATTTTTTAATAAATAATAAATAAAATATTTTTTACAACTCTGTATTACTAGTTTGACAAACCAAAAGGCTTGGGATTCCTTATTTGGGGTAACATGAATCAATAATTTTCAAATATAAAATCTGAGATTTGATATCTGAACATTATAATTATAAAAAATGACATCTCATTTCTAAAAGGTTGCAGAATGCTGGGTAAGATCAAAACTTGTATTATGTATTGTACTATATTATGGCTATGAAATTGTTGTTGTTGCTGCTGTTGTTGTTGTTGTATTATAGTATATTATTATTATTTAAAATAAATATATTAAATTAGTAATATGTTTTGGGGTCATATTTTCTTTCTATTAATTAATTTGATCGAAAATACAGAAAATAAAAAACACATATTCAGAAACACTATAACAATTTAAAATACAGATTTATTCTCTTTTTATATTATTATTATTATTATTATTATTATTATTATTATAAATATAATGATATATTTATATTATTGTTAAGTTATTCTGTTATTATCAAAAAGATTTATCAGTTTAAAAAGTTAGCAGTTTGTTGTTTTTGTGGACATTGAGAGACATTATTTTAGGATTCTTTGACGTATAGAATAAAAACTGCTTTTAATAAAATTAGCTGTACATTATAGATGTCTTTTAACGCCATATTTGATACTCAATTTAAAACACCCTCACAGAATAAAGGTTTTGTAGGTTTTTGAATGGAAGTTTAAGTATGTCATCATACTTTCAATCACTAGATGGCACTGTTGTCTAAAAAAAGCTTAATAAAAATAAATTCTGCCTTACTCAACAGGAGATTTTGTTGCCATCCTGAAGACTTGTTAAATCATGAACTGAGATTGTAAGTCATTTGTGCTGACTTAGGTTTTTATTGCAATTAAATAATTGTTTTATAGTAAATTCAAACTTTTTATAATATAATTCTATAATATAATATTTCTAAAATAATTCTATATAATATATAGTCAAATACAGCAAAACAGTAGGTAGCATGATTTTCATTTAGTTTAAAAAAGGTAATTGGGATTGTAATCAGTTTAATTGTGCATTTCAAGACACAAATTGCTTAGTCCTTCATGTCTACATGAATGTCTGACTGAAGCAGAAGTCTATGTGATCTTTGACCTGCTCAATCTCGTTCTCTACAGAGAGCCAGAGATCACACAGATTGTCTGTTTCAGAGCTAATTGAAAGATAATAAACCAATCCCATTCTGTTTTGACTACCAGCAAAATATTGTGCAAGCCAGCGGAGTGAGGCAGGACTGAGAGAAGAAGAAAAAAGAGCTAAAATAAAGAGAGCGGGGATAAAAACGGAGAAGCATTTCCTCGGTGTGTCGTTCAATGAACATCTGCTCTGGTGAGCTCACTGTGCAGACACACACACACACACACACACACTGCACATTTATTCAACGCTAGTAGCTTTTCAAATAAACATAAGCACTGTTCTGCCGGCTGCTGGCCTTCTTTCTGTCTCTCGTGTATACACACACATACACATACAGTGGCCCTGAAAAGAGTATGGATGATTTTTTGTGTCTATTAATTCACACATACACACTCCATGCATGTTATGTTTTCATGTTATATAGGGACATCTCATAAACGTGATGATTTTTATACTCTACACGCTGTATATTCTTTACTCTTATCCAAACTTATATCCCTAAACTTAACCCTTACAAAAAAACATTATACACGTTTTTCAAAATACTTATGAGATGTTTTTCTCATGTGGAACAACAACAAAAAAGTCTTCAAATTACAAATTAAAATACTGTAACTGAATAGTGTTTCTCAGGAGTTGTTTACAGAGTGAAAAAATGTGTATTTTTAGTTTTACTTGAGTACAATTTTAGTGCTGTATCTGTACTTTTACTGCATTATTTCCTTCAACCTGCAGTCACTACTTGGATTATATTTCTTGAACCTGTAGACCTCATAATGTTACGAATATAGGAACACACACACAGAAACACACAAGCGTGCCAGGTTTCTATGAATTGCATCTTTTTTTTTCTTTAGATGACTATTTGTTTAAATCTAATCAAATGACACTTGCAGATAAACATCAAATCATTCATCCCCTTTCCTTCAGCTAAGACTCTTATTCATCAAGGGTCACCACAGTGGAATGAACCACCAACTATTCCAGCATGTTTCACACAGTGGATACCCTTCCAGCTGCAACCCAGTGTGAGAAACACCCATACACTCTTGCATTTACACGCGCACTCATACAATATGGCCAATTTAGTTTATCCAATTCACCTGTAGCACATGTCTTTGGTCTGTGAGGTAAACCAGAGCACCCAGAGAAAACTCTCGCGAACATGGGGAAAACATACAAACTCCACACAGTAATGCCAAATGGCTCAGCAGGGACTCGAACCAGAGACCTACTTGCTGTGTTAACAGCGCTAACCCCTGAGCCACTGTACTGCCCAAACATCATTTAGTATTTTCAACGCAATTTCACGGCAATTCAAAACTTTTTGATTTATGGGCTAATTTGTATGAATGCGTAGGATTATTTGCACATTTTGCTCATCAACCAATGACATTGAGGTTTTGAGGTGGGGTTTGGTGCCACGCCTCCTTTTTAAAATCGTTAGTTTTTGTATGGATTAGCCGCTAAACTGACAAAACGTAAAATACTTAAGTTTTCTCGTGAGATTAGGCTGGTATTTTTTTTAAAGATAATTTGTCTCCTAGTGTGGACCAAAGGCCTATCCAAATAACGTTAAAAATAGTTTTGGCCCTTTTCCCCACAATATAGTATAAACAGGTAAACACACGAAAAAAAAAATAGTTCCAGCTAATTTGTGCAATTTCATGTCATTTGCAATATAAATCTATCATATAACCAGCATGATCTCATGAGGAAAAGTAAGTATTTTATATTTTGTCAGTCGTACGAAAATGTACAATTTTATAAAGGAGGCGTGGCACCCAACCCCGCCCCTAACCCCAACTGTCATTGGGTGATGAGCAAATCATACTAAATTGTACAAATACGTTCGTACGAATTCATACAAATTAGCCATTAAATCAAAAAGTTATGAACTGCCGTGAGATTGCGTTGCATAGAACCTTTATAATACATTTGTTGTTCTTTTCGTTTAGAATTTATAGGCTATATGACGACATTTATTAAATTAACCTAATATAGCTGCTCAAATGCAGAAGTTTGACATATTTTTTTATAATTATTGATCTGGTTAGCTCAGTGGTTAGAACTATCTCCTCACAGCAAGAAGGCCACTGTTTCAAGTCCTGGCTGGACCTTTTGGCATTTTTGTGGGGAGTTTGCATCTTCTCTCCGTGTTGGTGTGGGTTTTTTCTGGGTGCTTCGGTTTCCCCCACAATCCAAAGACCTA